GCCAGAGCCCCACGTGCCAGCCACAGGCATGCTCTGCAGCCTGGAGCAATTTCATATGAACCAGGAAAACACAAAGGGTTTCTCCCTTCTTTGAGGACAGGTCTTAATTGGCAGGGTGTATCATATAAGCCAGGGTAAAATTTCATTGAGGGTTTGAGAATTTTGTAAGGCTGCGACCCCTAATCAAAGCTACTTACTCTTACTGCCTGAACTTTTCAGCCATGGCCATAGTAAATTTTACCATCTACTTGATGTTTCACTTCGATGAAGCAGAGACATCAAGTCTCAGTGATACACATACAGCTATGCAGCCTTTCCATCTGCATCGCTCACCCAGTCAGGAGGTTCTCCTGCAGAGCAGCCACAGGGCTTCTTGTGGCCAGGCACAAGCATGGAAAGTCCTTGGACCACAGGCAGGAACCTCTGCCTGCCACCATCTCTGAGCACAGAGCCCCTGTGTGTGCCTCTGTCCTCAGAGAGGCTGAGTGAAGCTGAGACAGCTCCAGCTCGAGGCCAGGGGAGGAGGATCCAGGGAGCAGCTGCTCCTGCCTCACTCATGTCCTGAGCAGCCCCCTCCAACACAGCTCATCCCCTGCTGCCCATCAGCCAGCCCCAGCCATCGGGCAGCAATGTGCCCCAGGGCCCCGAGGACCACCCTCAACCAGCAGCAGAGGGTCTGCATTGCTCAGGGTTTGGGTTTCCCAAAAAACAAACCCAGCACCTTGCACTGCTCAGCCTGAGTTGCCACAGAGAAACCCACTGAGACATCAGCTCACCAGCAACAAAGATGATTTTTAAAAACTGAAAATAAACAAGACCTTTTTTTTTTTTTTTGGGGAGGGGGATCATGTAACATCTTGAAATTAGATTTTTAACTTGTATAAAACTCAAGGTAACTGCACTTCAGGTAACCTTATCACACAGTTTATCACCGAACATTTTTAAACCCCAAGTGACCAAAACAGCAGAGGTATCGAAGCAGATCTTTGATATGTTCAGTTCTCCAGAGTCCAAACTGCTGCAGTCACACCCATGGGGTGCCAGTGATGGCCACGGGTGCTGCTCCCCATCCCACCAAGGTCCAGATCCCCGAGGGGACTGTGCTTGCTGAGCTCCAAGGAGAAGCAAACAGTGATGGGCAGCTCTGGGGGCAGCTGGGGTTTGGTCATGTTTCCCATCTACATGTCTATTCTTATTTCTGTGCTTTTTCCCCTTATGGTCTAATTTTTGTTCATTACCTGATGAAAACTATTCTGTAACATGTGAATGAAACACTATTTTTTATTTCATCTAGAATTGTTTTGAATAACCATCCTGTTTAATTCCAACTTGCATAGAACACCAACAATGCAAAACATCAAGGATCGGTGTTTTGTGTGTCATATTTTGCTTGCCCAATTTATGGAGCCACACTATCTAAACTTCAAACCAGAAGGCATCAGAGCAGAGGAAGGGGCTGCAGAACTGCTCCCAGCAGCTGCCTGCCTTC